AAGTAAAAAACTCAGAAAATTGACTAAAATTCAACTTAAGTTTCATCTGATATGATAGTTAGAGGTATATTTCTATTATAAAAAGTAAAAAAATCAAAAAAATTAACTAAAATTCAATTAAGTTTCATCTGATTTAAATGGATAAAAGTATGTTTTTATTATAAAAAGTAAAAAAATTAGTATTTTTTGTATATTTTTAAAAAATTGACTAAAATTAAGCTTAAGTTATTTTTTTCAGCGTTTTAGTGGAATGTAAAAAGAAAAGTTTGAAAATGATTGAAATTATTTTTAAAAAGTTAAAAAATTAAACTTATTTATTAAAAATTTGTATATTCATATTATTTAGAAAATCAGTTTAATCCAAAAGTTCAGTTTGTTGAAATGATAATACCATCATCCTTAAGAAACAATAAAACTATTATTCTTAAAGAACGATAAATGCATAGTTTCTTAAGTACAATAATATAATCATCTCTAAGAAATAATAAAACTATTATACTTAAGGAATGATAATACTATCATTCCTTAGAAATAATAAAATCGTCATACCTAAGGTATGATAAATGTATCATTTCTTAAGAATGATAAAATCATCATACTTAAGGTATGATAAATGTATTATTTCTTAGATACAATAAAACTATTATTCCTAAGTATAATAATGCTATTGTTCCTTAAATATGATAAAAGCATCATTCTTAAGAAATAATAAAATAATCATTCCTTAGATATGATAAAACTATCATACTTAAGAAATGATAAATATATCATTTTTTAGAATAATAAAACTATTATTTTTAGGTATAATAATAAAATTATCCCTAAGGAATAATAAAACTATCGTTCTTAAGAAATAATAAAATTATCATTCCTAAGAAATGATAAAATTATCATATTTAAAGTATAATAAATATATCATTTCTTAGGTATAATAATATCATTCTTCCTTAAGTATAATAATACCATCATTCTTTAAGTATGATAAAACTATCATATCTAAGGAATGATAATACCATCATTCTTTAAGAATGATAAAATCGGCATACCTAAGGTGTGATAAATGCATCATTCCTTAGAAATAATAATACCATTATTCCTAAGAAACAATATAACTATTATTCCTTAAAAATGATAAAATTATTATATTTTAGATATAATAAAACTATTATTTATAAGAAATGATAATATCTATTATATCTAAAAAACAATACAATTATTCCAATTGGACGTCAATTAGCTAAAATAAGATAAATTAAATTTTAATATATACTAATCATCTATAAGTATGCAATCAGTTATAAATAAGATAGATTAAATTTTAGCTGTTTTTTAGCTAATTTCTGATGTATGCTAGGCTGATTTTTAATAATTTGCTAAATTTAGGCCGATTTTAAGCTGATTTTAAATTGATTTACATGTCTGATTTTTTTGATTTTGACCAGTATATAGAAGGTTAATTATAGATTAAATACAATTCATATTTGTAATTTGTATTTACTAATTTACAGATATATCACATTTTTTAAGGATAAATAAAATGTAATTAATAAAAATAATGATAAGTTACTAATTCTGAAATTATTTATAAGACCAGTTCAATTTACGAACTTATACTTAAAATTAAAAATGAAAAAAATATATATAAAAATTATAAGGTAAATAATATTAATATAAACTATTAAGATTATTTAATTTTTTTTATTTTTTTGTATTTTAAACTGCCTTTTAATTTTATTAAACACCATACTTCTATTGAAGTTTAATATAAAAAATTTGAAAAAAAACTTAAAGTAGGTATTATTCAAAAATTCAAAAAAATAATCCTAATTTCCATCTTGTATTGATAATTTGCCTTTAGTATATCTTATACATCATAAGATAAATATAAATTGTAAATATTTAATAAGTATCAAATTTAATTTGAATATACTTATTATTAGATTATTTATTTTTTTATAAGTAATAATTATCATCAAACTAAAAAATATGATGATGATAATCCTAAAACAAAAGATAGCTTTATGCATAAATTTCTTTATTAGTAAAAAAATGTGTTTATAATTAAAGTAAAGAATAAAAGAAATTATACTCAAGAAAGTCATAAGTTCTGTTAAAAATTTTACAAAGTCTAATGATATACATGCAAATAAGTTCAAATTTATATTTATTTTTAAATTATTAATATTTTAATTTACTGTATTTAATGTATTTATTCTGTTTAATGTAATAGATGATTTTCAAGAAATTAATTGACAAATTGAAGAACTTATGAAAAATAGGGAAATAAAGTAAGAAAAGAAAAACAAAAAGCAGTTAGTTTAAAAATTAAGATAAATGTAAGGTGTGAAAGTCCATTACTTAATATAGAAAGTCAAGTACCAAATCTTTTTGATAGTCCTACTGACTTTAATGACGAGCTTCACTTATCAAAAAACTAGTACTGTAAGTTATTTTTTTCGATTATTAAAATGATTTTACTATTGTTTTATAAATTTAATAGTAATATTAGGAAAAGTGAATTGAGGCTGAAGCATACTGCGCCTTATAGATCTTCTCGAATTAAAATGTTAAATCCCAAGCCAAGATAATGAACCTGCTGTCAAGAAACGACGACATAGGCAAGTTTAAAGAAAATAATACAAATGCGTATTAACATTAGATCTATATACATATAATAAATGATTTATACATTTAATAAGAATAATTCATATATAAATAATATAATTTAAAGTATATATATTTAATAAATACTTATATACACAAATAATACAAAATCCCCGAAAATTAAAAGTCATAATTTGTATGGGCCTTTTTTTTAATGTATGTTTAATATTTAAGTATGGACATAATATATATATTTAGTGAACGATCATTATGAGATTATACAGTGGACATTTACTGTACATAAAGTGGATTATATATTTTTCATAGGGCGTGGATTAGCAAAATGTATCTCCGGGGAATATCTAAATTTTTGAGAAAATAAGATTGAAAATTTGATCATAAAATTACATCTCACTTGTTGCGTCTATTTTTATCAGGTGACAATTTATATAGTATTATCTGAAAATTATTCTCACGGTCAACTTTCCATCTTTTTTTCAAAAAAGTTTTGAATATTTCGATAATTTACTATACTTGTATGCTAAAATTAATTTATCATATAGTTAAACTGGTTCCGCTTATATAAAATCATAAAAAAATTTGACATGGTCTCGGAGGGACATTTTGCTAGTCCATGACCCATATAATGACATTGTTGTAGTTAATGTATGTCTGAACCACATTCCGGATATATCAAATCAGAATGTATAATTGGTGTTTCCTCAAATATGAAGATATGTGCTTGCCCTAAAAGTGCGCAAATGAACACTTTGGATATCCAAATTCGCTTGGATATCTTAAATTTTCACTTCGAACTGTCATTTTAAATAATATAACTTAAGTCCAAGGAATTGCAAACTTTTATTTTATATTTGTTTCAATATTAACTAGCAGATTTTAAATAAATTTAACTGGAGTTTACGGCTGCGAAAATCCCCATTAGTAATAGTAATCGAAAATCAGGGAATTCGATAAAAAAAATTGTTAACTTCAGGATTTATCTTTTAAAAGCAAAATTGTGTCAATTCTACAAAAGATTAATTTAAATAAATAAAGTTAAAAAGAAAAACTATAATATGAAACACAAATCGAACTTTTATTCTAATTCTTTTTGTGAATATTTCCTAACCTAAATCTGGTTAGATCGAGATAAAAGAGAGGCGCCGATTTTCACAAAGCGGGTTGAATTTCTTCTTGCGTCAATTTCCTTTTTATTTTCAGGTTCGGGTTACAATTAATTAAACTTTATTTCAATTTAAGAAATAATATTCATAATTTTTATCCAAAAAAAAGTTTTATATTTAAAAATTATGTCACGTGATTTATAAATAAAAGATAATCTTATAAATTAAATTTTATAAAAACACTGAATCTTAGTTAGTTTCAAATATAATGACACCAATTTGAATGAAAGATCGGTCACGTAATAACCGACATGTATGACAATGAATGAAATGCATAAAATACTGTATGAACCTTTTTTCTTTTAAAATATATAAAAATGTATGACATTAAAGATATAGACATGAGTGAAATAAGATAGTTGCTTGAGACGATATTCCATAATTTTTATTAAAATAAATTTGCATTTTTTTTTTTAAAACAAAATTAAAAATAATAAAAAATATAAAAATAAAAAGATCAGTGTGATAAACTTTATCTAGACAAATAATTATAAATGCAATAATATCATACTCAATAAAAAAAGATACAAAAAATACAAAAGGATATTAATAAAGTATATCTATCAATGATGAAATTACTGTAATGAATTCAATATCAGTTTAAATTTTGATCTTTTTTACGGTGGAATGTATATTATTGTATGAATTTTTGGTGTAAAAATTTTTTGAGTATAGGCGTGAAAATTTTTGAAGAAAAAAGAGAAATTTGACTTGATATAGATAAAGAATGAAAAAATAAATAAATAAATAACCTTAGTTGAACGATTAAATAATGTAACAATTAAATACAATATTATATATGAAATGAATCCGAATTTTGTAATTAAATTATAAAGATTTATGTTTGCACTTCCTAATTCACCTTTGCATAGAAATTGTTTGAATATTCATATTATAGGTATCATTCTTATCTATTATTAAAGCAAAGAAAATTATTAAAAAGAAATTCCAAAGATAAATACTATAAAGGATGTTCTACTTCTTCGAGATATCCGAATATTATGATAAAGACATTTTGTAATAACGGGATTTATTTCAAGAATCATGAACACGAAATAAATCATTAAAAAGAGACGAACTGTTGTAACTTGTTTAAATAAGTAGCGTTAGATTTAAATACATTTCTCTTTCATTTCAAGATTTATCAAAATCAAATATTAAAATCAATATAATTATTAAGATCTAAATGATCTAAATGTGAAAAAATGAATACTATACTGTACGATTTAGGTAATTTGTCTGGTAATTGAAATTCCACCGTTTGATTAATTGCATCACCAGCTTAATTGGACATTCACTTCCAGTACAAGCATCAAAAACAATGGGGTCTGCTAAGGCACCTCCCATTGAATTCCCAAATGCAACCACAAGTTTGGTTTGTTCAGTAACGTCATTATTCAATGCGGTAACAGTAGCAGTACACTTTTGATGAGTTCTTGTAAGTGTTCCACCGAGGGGTGGACATGAATAATAGCCAGATCTTTTAAGAAGTTTATGTGGAATTGCATTGACCATGGAAAGCGTGATCAATAAGAGGAATGCAAATTTATGATTTCTTTGAAAAGTTGAGTTTGTTGAGTTTTTTTTTGGTGAATGTTAGTTATCAAATAAGCTTTGATGGATCCAAATTTTGTTGATATGCTATTTTGTTTCTCTTTGAAAATCTTTCACAGTAATTTTAATTGTTAACGATCATTTCGAAAATTTGAAAATCATTATTAACGTTAAAGTCTGAGACGAGACGTTGTGACTGAAATCTGAAATTGGAATTCCAATTTCAGAATTTCGGTTAACTGAAATTGGAATCTCAATTTCAGACACCCGAAGATCGTCCGAGTTCCAACTTCAATTTCAGTCACAACAAAATAATTACTAGCACTATTTTATTTAATAAAATGGAATTAGTAATGACATTAACCCGAAAAAAAAAAGAAAGAAGAAAATCAAACAACGCTTTTCTTTTATTCTCGTTCTAACCAGGAAATATTCACAAAAAGGAATTAGAATAAAAGTTCGATTTGTGTTCCATAAAAATTCATAGGTTTTCTTTTTAACTTTATTTATTTAATTTAATCTTTTGTAGAATTGACAATTTTGCTTTTAAAAAGATAAATCCTGAAGTTAGCTTAATTTTTTTTTTTATCGAATTCCAAATCCATAATTATTTTTGGTTTCATAATAATTATTATTATCATAATAAATTTAAAATCATACAAAACATTATTTAAATTACAAATTAAAAAAGTAAGTTTCAAAATAAACCAAAAAAAAAGTAAATATCGAAAGTTTTTTCCAACGTTTTAAGATATTCTTTTCGATTATGAACGTTGAATTCATTTCTTATTATAATGAGAAGAATGGACGTTGAAGGTAGAATTTGATCGAGAAAAAGCTTGTTGAATTTTACGTAAAGTTTGTGTTTCGTTGTGACTGAAATTGATTTTCATCTCATCTTCGGGTGTCTGAAATTGAGATTCCAATTTCAGTCAAACTGAAATTCAGACGTGAAATTGGAATTCCAATTTCAGACACCCGAAAATCAATTTCAGTCACATCATCTCGATGGCGTAATTCGATACTGCGTCATTCCTTGATTGTTTTCAATTACGATTTGAACGCTGTTTACTAAAAGATTTAACATCCTCAGATTG